TCCGGTATTTGACTCGATGCCAGTTGAAAAAAGTGATGATGTTAATTGCCCTCAATTCAATTCATATTTTTTATTGTTTATCAATTTTAATTGTTTAACACAAATACGAAAGATTTGCGACGGAAATAAAATTACGACCAAATTCCAACTTAAATGAGATACTCGAGGCCATGAAGCATCCGATAACTGGTGTGGCCTGTTTCACTCAGACTCCCAGCCTGCCTTCCTACACATTTGTGTCATACGAAGCTTTACTTTGGCTTAAGTCACGTCTGGACAACAGCAGGCATCCATTGGACATATTGGAGGCCATGCGAAAGTAATAAATGCATAATTTGAAATCCTGTCATAATTAATAATAAGTAAATAATTTTAGAGAGAAGATGATTTGCCATGCGTCTGGAGACTGGGATAAGCAAGTCATACCCGGATTTTATCTCTACTATATAGCGCAGCAAGATAAAAATGCGAAGGGTATGTATAAGTGGTAGTAGTTGCAGTATTAGCTATGTATGTATGTATTTTTTTAGAATTTTAACTTACTTAATTTCACTATATGTATGTATGTAAGTATGTATAAAAGTTTATTATCAGTAATAATATTTTATCCTTGTAGAATATGTTAAACCTCTCTACGATCTGAGTGCTTTCGAGAATGAGTGGATGGAGATAGAATTACAAGGTTGTAATCATCTGTGGACTGATGAAGCGAGAGTCCCAAATATACCAACCTTCTTGCGGGATATACCATCGGCGCAATCTTGGGCGGACTATAGTCAAAATCGTAAGTGAAGAAAATAGGGAAAATATAGTATAAAATTAGATAAAATTTAACAAAATGAAAGTGAAAAAAGTTAGTAAAATACAATGAAATAAAATAGCATAAAAATAAATAGAATAAAACTAAATTGCCTTACCTACACACATAGTATATTAAATTGGAAATACTATATATTATACCAATGATATTTGATGATGAGGAAAAAGTAGTTTCTTCATGATCCATTGATTGGAATTATACCAAATTAGTATGAGACCACTCGTGAGATACCGGATAAATCGGAATTATAGAAAACTGTTTACGTGTTACAAAAACATAAAAATATTCCGACGGGTTGATAACTTCCACTGATGCACAGATTTTTTTTTTATAACCGGCGTACGAATTTTTTACGTGAGTTGCTAAGTTAACACCTATGTATGTACATGCATACAAACATTTATTAAACTTGAATCTGTTGGAACCAAAAGTCGTGTTCATATTCGTAAAAATTTGAAAGATCAAAGTGTTTAAAGTTTACATATATACATACATATATCTCACATGAATTTGTATTCTTCCCATTATTCCAGGGAAAATTTACCGTCATTCACATTTGGAAATTAATGTCAATCAAAAGAGTGACCGAATGGAATGGGGTCACGTTAAGTATCATACTGTTATGCAACCCGGATACGCCTTTGAATTTGTTGTTGAGTGGGTTACAGCATCTGGGCCAATTGTGTGGGATTTGGTAAGAGTTATAGTTAAGCAATATACCGATTGTAGGCAGATTCCTAGTCCAAGCTGTTTTTATTTACCTTATTTTATTGCCTTAGATATGGGGCTGGACACGTAAAGCGAATCATTGCAACTATGAATTGATATCTGTGCCCGCTGATCCGATGGCGGAACCATTTACTGAGAAGTCTGATCCATTGCGTGGTCCAATTTTTATACCATTGTCAGAAAAATTTTTAAGTGACAAGAGTGTTATGTTTGGTGGTAAGCTAGAAATTTATTGGCTCATTGACTATTATGCCAAATTAATATTCATATATACTTACACACATATTTACGTTTCAGAATTCGCTGAGGAGAGTAGAGCCGATCGTATGCTGCTCTTTCAAGAAGCCATACTTGCAAGGTTTGGATTTCTGCCGTGTGTGATAGAGAAAAAGTTTTCGTTTAATAAAGATGTAAGTGGCATGAATTAAAATTTTATGTTTTGTTTTTTTTAACTAATTTAATCGTTAAGTTATTTTGATCAAATATGGTATTGTTTGCATTCGCAGGTACCTAAGGAATATCAGTATGTGCATTGTTCTGGGCATATGTTTGTACTTATTCGGTAAATCTGCATTTTTGGTTGACACCTTTCTTTTTATAAGTAAAAATAAATTATGTATTCAAATGATTTCCAGTTGTTCGAAGAACAATTATCAAATGGACTCTCCAAGTCGGCAAGAAGCAAATGTGACTCGGTGTGTTTATGGACACACTAATAATACCAATGTTCCAAAAAAGGTATAGGCACATATTGATTTTGATTTATTTATTTTTTTTTATATGACCTCAAACTTTCTCATCTAGGTTGGATTTTTATGGGCCTGGAATCATATGATACCCAATAAGAAATGGAAATCGTTAGTTATTAAGAATTCACCAGATGGTGAAATTTTCCAATTGAAAATGTTGAAAGACTTTCGAGATTTTTGTTCCGACACTGATGAACGTCTGACGAAATTCTGGGAACATTGCCATGAGTTGAAACGAAAATCCTTAAAAATAGAAAACCCCAGCAATAATAACAATATTGAAATAAAAGTTAAATAAGCTAAGTCTCAAGAGTAAGCTTTATATTTTCATACCCAGCGCGCTACTGTTGGTACTTCCCGTTATAAAGGTAAAAATAAATAAATTGATATGGAGAATAAATTTATCTTCATAACCCACTTAAAACTTACGTTACCAACTTTACTGAATTCGTAGTAAAAAGCATTTCTCTAATTTGGCTTAAGAAAATTTTGAAAGTGGATGTGACAATATTTATTCAAGCCATTTATCAGAATTTCAAAAGCTACTTGAACAAATTAAACTATATCAATGCGACCAACTCCGCAGTTCTATGTAAAACATGTGATATTTATAAAGCGTGCGCTGGATATGAATATATAATGGTTTCAGGTAATTTAACTTAATTTTTTCAACTATTAAACGTTTTAAGTTATTTAGCAATTTTTAACTCAGTTTGGCAAAGAGTAAAGTTTGACTTTTATTATAAAAATGCGGGCAATCTCTTATGAAGCTCCGTAAGCATTGAAATCAGTTTGATGATTTTTTTTTATCAACTGTAAAAATACATTTGTCAAGCGAAGCCTTAAATTTTGACTTTACATGAAAATATTAATTTAAAAGCGTATGCTTTTTAGACTTAATCGATTTATTGAATCTGTACATAGAATTAGGCACATGTTATACATGTTTGTTTGGCATAGACTTTTGTACTGTTGTAAATCACTAAAACGAAAATAAAATCACAATATTTTGCTAAATATGTAGAACTTTTAAATATGTATTTTATTTTATTAATGCACTCATAATGACAAGTATATTTTTGCTGATTGACTCAACGTTTAAGTCAAATAAAAAATATACTGATATTTTTCCTAGACTATTTCTCATCGTAAATAAGTTAATAGTAAAGACCTACATATCTTTGTAAAGCAAGCTTTCTAAATATGAACGAAATCGGAACATAAATGCTGGTTTACCAAATATATCGACTCGGCACGAAGAAGAAGAAAATGACGATCCAAAAGTTGAAGATATTCGCTCTCTATTACCCATTATTATTGCGTGAGGTGCAGGATACAAGCAACCACATTAACAGGTCTATTCTGCGTCGGTAACAAACATTTTGTAACCGAAAATGCAGTTGCTGCAAATTTTTAAACCCTTTTCGCATTCTGTGCACTCTTGTAATCGGTAAACTTTGTTGCCATCTCATAAGCTGGTAAGAAAATATTGCAATGCAATTTTCCGGCTACAAAATTATCGGTTACGCGCAGAATAGACCTGTTAAAGGTCTTATACCATCTGTAATGGTTGTAATGTAACAGCATAAGAGTTAAAAAAAAAATTTGGGGGATGTCATGGGCGAATGCAGCAGAATAGCCCGTCCTAGACCAGATACAAACGTAGCTTATTCTGGATAATTCGATGTGATGTCCTCGAAACAATTCGGGTATTCACAACGGTGTCGTAAGCGTCGTAATCTTTAAACGCTTAATAAATAAATTTAATTATTTTTCAAGCTGTTAAAGTTTACGACATACAACAATACGACACCGTTGTGAATCCCTCAAAGTGGCATCCGAAATGAGTAACAAGGTGTGAACATGCCAATATTTTTTAATCCGAAAAAGGTCTGAAAAACGCTGAAAACAACTTTGAAACAGTTGGCATCACTGTGGCTAATTTCCCTGTTTGTTTTGATTACGCTTTCGTTTTTACTCGGAAAAAAAGAACGCTTAATTAAGCTGATCAAAGGAAAAAGTAATAAAATAAATTTCAATTAAGAAATACCAATTTAAATCAAAACATTTAGAATTCATTGCATGTGAAAGCGGAGTGTATGTGTAGCTGACTGCTGATTTCGTGTAGGTAATTAACTTCCAGTATTTTGCAAAAACTAGTGGTGTCTTGCTCGTTTCGGAAAAACATTCCCATTTTAGTCAAGCCTCCTCTCTACAAGATCTTGGTCAGTGTACAGATAAGTTCAGTTAGTCTGCTACTGCATGAGCGAACGATATATATTTCGCTTATAACTTGCTTGCCCTCGATTTGCAAGCACGTCGGCTTAAATCCACCTTAATTCTTGACCCAATGCATTTGCTTAATACTTGCATATAATTAAATTGATATATGTACTATATCTCGAAATACTACTTACTTATGCATGCTTTTTTATTTTAGTTCAAACATGGAATCTCAAACCAGACAGCGCTTAAGAGCTCCAAATTTCACAAAATGTGAGAATTTACTTTTACGTGATTGCATACAAAAGCGTAAAAACGTAATTGAAAATAAAAAAACGGACCGAAATAGTCTTCAACAAAAGCAAGAAGCGTGGATGGAGGTGGCGAAGGAATTCAATGAAGCCAATACTGGCATCCAGCGTACTGTTGAGAGCCTGCAGCAAAATTATAAGAATTTGAAGAAGAAACTTCGTCAGTATAAAATTATATATATTTTTTTAATTTAATAATTTAGACACCTATATTTATTGATGGTACATAAATTTTAGGTAAAAGAAAACTCCTATCATCGAGGCAGGAAACAGTTGCAGAGACATTCAATACGTTGACTTCCGAAAAGAAGGAATTGGTATCGGCAAAAAGTGAATTGTTGCAAATTCAGTTGATAGATGAACAAGAAAGATTAGAACATAATCGTCTATTGAGGAAAATGGAATTTGAAGACGCCCAAAAGAGATATGAGCACAACGAAACAATTAGGATGTTGCAATTAGAGGAATACAGCTAAAATATTTCAAAGCATTTGCGCTAAAAACTGTATTATTTAAATTTTGAAATACTAAAAATATTTAATTTATTTCCCTTATTATTATGTTTAATTTATGTTTTGCATTTATTTAACTGTTACCAAAAACAAACCTAAATTTGTATCGAAAAAAAAATGAATTGTTGCAAATTCAGTTGATAGATGTACAAGAAAGATTAGAACATAATCGCCTATTGAGGAAAATGGAACTTGAAGACGCCTAAAAGAGATATGAGCACAACGAAACAATTAGGATGTTGGAATTAGAGGAATACATCTAAAATATTTCAAGGCATTTGAGCTAGAAACTATATTACCTAAATTTTGAAATATTCAAATTATTCCATTTATTATTATTTAAGTTTTGCATTAATTTAACTGTTACCAAAAACAAACCTAAATACGTATAAGAATTTCTGATGGGACCATCTGAGCCTTATTCACATAAATCCTCTGAGGTGCCAAAAATAAATAAAATTTTCTAATAAAAATAGTGGCTACTGGTTAAACTGAACATTAATAATAAATAGGTACAATAGATTGGCGCAGCGGCCGCCACTAATGTCGGAAAATCAGGTGTGGAGATCTACTCTAATGGTAACGTAAATTCCGGGTTTTATAGAATGTTTTGTTTGTCGAAAGAAGTTCCAGAGTCAACGAAACTCTACCATAGGTATTGTGGTTGTTCACACTTGGCTGGTTATCAGGTTAGCTCAAGAATGATAGAATACTAATATTTTCTGGATCGTGCTCTGCAGTGTACTTTATCGTAAAATGAGCGCCGGTTGTAATCAATCAGCTGATTACAAATTGAGTGCTGCCATCCAAAGATTTTTGAATAAAACTGGACTGCTGCTTTGAAAACATCATTCAGACATAAGATAAAAACAGATAAAAAAAATATAAATTTAAGTCTTAAATTGTTTCATATATGTAGATATAAGTTAATATTCGCACAAGCTCCCTAAAAAAAAAATATTTTACTTTTATTTATCAATAACGCGGCAACGCAGCCCATTTTGCAACTTTGACAGTTTGTGTTGTTTTTGTGCTTAGCTTTTTTTTTCTATTTAACAAAGTAATCAAAATACGCTAAAAAGATTCGTCTTTTGCCGTGATTTGGTGCTTCGAAGGGAGCAGAAAGTTTGGAAATTTTATTGGATTGAATATGTCGCCAAACGTTGTGCAGATATGTAAGTGATTGAATAATTGAGTTCAATTAAATGAGTTTCAGTCCACTGCTAAATGGTTGATGAAGAAGTGAAGTTTGTATGAAAGTGTGTAATGGAGTACGTATAAAAAAATGTTCAATTGGTAAGTTTAGTTGGGAGCATATAATTATATTTAATAAAATCGAATGGAACTGATAAAAGCAGATTTTCAGGCTAATTATTTACCTGAATGCTGATTGTAGGCAGAAGTCACTGTGAACGCATACGGCACCATACAATATAAGCAAGAGCACATACGAAATTTATAAAATATTGCCAACTCAGAAAGGTAGTCGGCGTTTGGACCATTCCAATAGCAAAGGACCTAATCGCGTTTCAAAATTTTGTTTGTAACGTTAATTGCAGTTGTAGTTGCAATTGTTGCCGCAGTCCTTTTGGAAATTCGCGAGTGGGCAACTGATGTAACTACATGTTACTCCATGGCACATTTCACTTGGTGAGTGCAGGAATCGATGCGTATACATTTCTAATTAATGATTAGGTATCGGCTTTCATATATGCATACTAATTGATTGATTAGCAATTTAATTTATTTCGCCTTTTAAAAGTTAATGGCAATTTATGCAAAGCAAACCAATTTAGTGATCGCCACACAATGTGCCTATACATATGTATGATTGTGATTTATCGTAAGGGAAACGCGATGAGACGGACAAATGCTAAGTAAAAATGTACATACATACATATGTACATAAGTACATATTTTAAACTAACAGAATAAACCACAATTATTGTACCAACGCCTCGCGAATTGCTTTGCAGGTTTCGAAGATTTAACAGACTGATGAGCATACTGATACTTGATGGCTTGCTCAATTAGCCATACAATTCAAATTGTATAAAAATAAAAAGCTGAAATATGTCTTCATTCTTGCTTACATGTGAACATACATATGTATATGCGCGTATTTGTATACTATGTGATGGATAGTGTTAAAAGGGATTACTGGTTTTATTACACCGGTCATTGACATTAGTACTTGTGTGTAAATTACACAAATTTATTTTTATGCTTATACATATATCTTAACGTAGTAGTTATGCTTGTAACCAATAAGCGGTTTCTATTTGAATTCACTTTCTGTCATTAAGCATTACTTTGAATTCACACCTATTAATTAATTTCGAAACTAGTTTTAATTCTTCATTATAGGTATGTGACTTTATTTTAATTTTTTTTTTCTTGTTTAAAATATAAATTACAGGTATAACAAACACAACCTGCCTCAGTCAAGTGTCAGTCGAGCTGACACCGAACATCATGTACCGCTGTGTTCCATCACTGATGTGCAGCTGAGATTTCTAGTACCGGACGACTTAACCGAGGTTCCAATGAACAAATTCTTCATATGTACCCAAATATTTATTAACCACGTTTTATTTTCGTTTAAATTTAGGTACGAACATTGTGTCAAGATTGGTTTCCCATTGATTATCCGCTGTCATGGTACGAGGATATTACGTCGAGTTCGCGTTTCTTTGCGCTTGCTGCTGTCTACAATCTGGCCATAATCGGATTAATTGTAGCTGAAATTAAACCATATAGAAATCTAAACAAAGAGGTAAACTACATATTTCTTTGTTGTGCAGATAATGAATATGTACCATATTATATTGTACATAGTATGCATGTAATGGTCTAAAATATGAACAAAGCACATGATATTTATGATTTTAATACTAGGATAAAGGGATTTTACCGGATTCGATGGGGCGTAATGCTGATATAGGGTATATACTATCTTTAGGAGTGCATCGGAAGCATCGGCGTAACGGGATTGGCTCACTGTTGTTGGACTCGTTGTTGAATCACTTAACGACCGCTGAGCGGAATTCGGTCAAAGCAATTTTTCTACATGTGCTAACCACAAATCAACCTGCCATACTGTTTTATGAGAAACGGAGGTACCTACATTAACCTATAAATAAAAAAATTCTAAATATACACATAGTATAATGTTAAAAGATTTAATTTAAAAAATGTATGAATTGTTTAATTTAACGTAAATTCTGTATAACTTCCAGATTTCACTTGCATTCCTTCCTTCCATATTATTACAATATACGGGGAAAAGGGAAGGATGGTTTTACCTATGTCACTTACATCAATGGAGGACATCAACCATGGACAATATTATATCCTTTTCCAAAAAATTTGTCACAAAATTACGGTCGAAAAACGATAAATCGAAAGCTGACACCACACGAAACATATTAGTAGTTGTTTATGAATTTCTACTGTTTATGCTTCGAATTATCGTTTTCAGACTTTACATATTTGTATTTAATCTTAAAACGCGTACGGTTTCCTTAACTACCTTGCACAGATCACATCAAACATTATGCATCGAAGCTTAGACATGCAGGTGCAGTCTTCACATGGATTTCTACGCGACTGAGGCAAGTTGTGCGTTGGATTTGTCATAAAACAGTGTCACGTTTTAATTTTGCACATTAAGTACATCAACATTTTTCACCGTAAACCCACTGCTGCACCATGTGGTATACACGAAGAAAGGAAACAAATCCAAATCTGTAGATATATAAGTATTTATAGTACGGTGCTAGAGTAATAGCGAATAGGAACAGAGTATGTTTTTAGTTATTCAGTGTGAATGATAGGCGCAAGTTTTTTTTTTTGTTTAAAACAAATATGCAAATGTAATCATGGTACATTGTTGACTGCGTCCATACATACAACCACATACATACATGCATATACACATTGACATGCATTAAAACTTACTCTAAGTATATGCATACATATATAATTTGTAAGTAATTAAATTTTATAAGTAAGTTCTTACATACATAGGACAAGTTTGTATCACTCACCGAACACTCACCACCTTGAAGTCATGTAAAGTCATATTTCCCTTGTTATTTCGTCGATTTAAAATGTTTAAAAATATGTTTCTTTGAATAATCATTTTCGAAATATGCACAACACATTAACACAATATTTACACATGCGTTAATGCTATAGGTTAATTTAAGAAAGGTTTTATTTATTATAACAAACAATTGTAGTCAGTTTAACACATTCATTTTTAATAATATTTTTAACTTCAGTTTTTTTTTGTAATTTTTTATGCTTGTATTGTTTCATATAATTACCATAGTTTATTATTGTTAAATGATTCGTATTTAAATCGATGGTCTCTCTGTTAAATAGTATAATTTTATTCAGTTTCAGGTCATAAAGTACAATAACCGAGCATCAATAAAGACAGTGTGTTAAAAATAAGATGTACATATATACTTCACATTACACACACACACGGAAAAGTCGATAAACATACATACATATGTATATCTGTGAACCTATAGTTGGGTTAACTAACTAGCATATTGATGTTTGGACACAAGAATTGTTTCAATTTAAACTTATTTCATACTCGGGCAGCGCACACAGTCGTAGGTATAATTACGAAAAGCCTGATGCACCCTTGAAACGATAACGATTTAGGAACGCATGTTATTGTTTCAAGTCTACTTGCTTTATTTGTATGTATAGTATTTTGTAAAGTATTTTAAAAATAATCTAACTAAATAACATTTTTAATTCAATGTTTATCTTTTTGTAGCGAATTTCAAAGTGAAATTAATGTATGCATAATAAAATATAGCGAGTATATGCCGGATTCGGTCGTTGTTATTGAAATACCCAGTATAAAGATGTACATATTGACATGTATATATGTAAACATACATATCGTCGTTTAAA